CAGCCCTACGTACGGATAAGAGCTCGGGCAGGGAAATCCGAAAGCGGAAAATACCTAGCCGGCCGTTGTGCCCAGCGCTTCTGACCCCTGAACGGTGGTCTGACTATACAAATGCACACTGCCGTATTAGTGACAAGGACGGCTGGTGCTGGGTGCTGCTGTCAGTGAGTGGGAGGGATGGTTGTCGGATTATCGACTCCGTTCGACGTCGGGAACGAGAAGCATGGGTTTCGCTCATGAGCTCACAAGCCAAAGGGGATGTGTCAATAAGGAATAGTTGATCTCAGGAGGGATACTACATAGGTAAAGACGGGAAGATTCAGGAGATTCGCGAATGGGCGACTGACATGAGTGGGAACATATGTATGAGAGCACATATCTAGCTGGAAATTGAATGGGCGTGGTGAAGAAGCGATTGAGATCATCTTGGAAGTGCCGGACCGTCCGTGGCTTTCGGCCGAGTTCGTGGAGTTCATTCCAAGATCAACAAGACTTGAAGCGATGGCCAAGCCTCAGGTGGTTACCTTAGTTAGTCGGTGGTTGCATAATAAGGACCCTGCTCCACCTAATTACCTTCTACGGAGTACTCTGTTATTAGTGTAGCAGATGAGCCGGACCTCGTCCTCTGTTCCTCCAGGTACCTTACATACCTTAGTACCTTACCTTATCCTGGATGCGTTCTTGCCCAAGGCGCCGGAGGTGCACTGAGTAACTTACGTGCCTTAGGACTGCCCTTGACGTCACTAACTCCAGATGGGTTACTGTGGCGTTGAACCTTGAAGGAAATCCTTTATCCGGAGAAAGTCGCGTATTGTATCCGTACCTACCTATTTGAGACGCGGAAAGTCGTCACAAGATTTTATCTGCACGTCGAGAAGCAACGATGCAACTCGAGAATTTAAGGTTCCTAGCTAAGAGCGTAACTTCTCCACTTTAGAGTGGCTGTTAGCCACATGCTGACTCATCGGACAGGGGGCCCTTGCCTGTAAAGGGGGGTGTGGGTCCGTGCTTTCCAACTTCACGCGTTGTCTGTTTTTCGCATCATCTCTCGTCAAGGGTTGATTTATCGACAACATCCCGTCATCAAAGAGTCTTCTCGCCGTTGTTCAGTCTCGTGGAACATTGATATTCGAGTACCGGGTCAGTTGTGTGCCGGGCGACCGCCCTTCCGCGCACCTCGACCAATGCCCCTCACCTTCGTCAGCCGAACGACGAGTCTCCGCGACAGCCTACCCTCCACGCGGTGATTCGAGATTACAAGTCTCGCTGATGCCTCGAAAGACGGGAAATCAAGAGTATCTGGGAAATAAAGAGATGTCTTCGAAACCTAAGACTCCGTCGAGGCCGCCGACGGGCCGGAAGCGCGGCAGGCCTCCAGCCTCGGTCGTTGCTGCACGTCTCGCTGCTAGCAACGATGTCTCTGCAGCTTCTAGCATAGGCCGCCCAAGCAGAGAGCGCATCGCGACGCCGAACGCGACGATTGTCACCCGTTATAATCGAGATAAAGATGGCGCATCTCCTACAGCCACTACGGGCTCTCCCCGGCCGGTTAACGACGCCGTCACTCCCAATGCCTCCTCGGCTTTTTCCGCCGCCGTCCAGTCCGAACCTCCCCCAAAGCGGAGAAGATACATACCAGGTGGTGCCGGTGGAGGCGGCAGGTTTGTGGAAGAAGATGGCACCATAACACCCAATACCACCCCACGCACCATAAGACAACCGAGACAACCTCGCGTCCCGAATACAGTCATTCCAAGAAGAGAGAAGAGCGCTCGTATCCGCTCCGCGGCGGATCCCGGCGAGGTACAATATAGCACAGCTGCAGCAGCTGCTGCGGCGGTCGCACAAAGCGAAGGATACAAGCCCCGAGAAGAGCGCGGATGGGAGGAGTTCCACCCCAACCTAGACATTGATGCGACTTTCATGATGTTCCGTTCTGAGGACGTCGACGGCCTCACCCAACCGCGTCCAGCGACTCCGGCCGTCCCATCATCTGTCGATCCGGACTCTAGCACGCCCCTGAGGGAAGTGAATCCGTCTTCCACAGGCAACACTCCCAATCCCGCACCTGACGCGCAATCCGGCCAGCCGGAAACCCCGCAAAAGCGTCGCTCGTCACGGCCTATCCGGGATACCGCTTCACAAATAGCAACCCGAGAAATTTCCGCCATCACTTCAACACCAAAGGTGCCGCAGGTTCTGCCGATTCGAAACCAAACCGCCAAGGAGAAGCTCGACCTGAAAGCCCCCTCGTACCGACGATCCGACCGCGTTGCACAATTCGAGAGGAAGAGTTTTGGACAAGCCCGATACGTCGATAAGTCCATGATGAACGTCGGTTACCAGGAGAGCGACCACTTCCTCCAGCCGGCGCACCGGTTAATCAAAGCCGATGATTCCAACTTCGAGGACGAGTCTGATATGGCGTTGGCGTTGGCGCTGGCCCTGAAGGGAGACGCTGAGAATGCGCCTGCGCCTACGACATCCGCCCCGCTTGGACGCGTGGAATACGACATGGACGAGCAAGACGACATGTGGCTCCAGGCATATAATGTGGAGCGCAGGAAAAACGACCTGGAGCCCATCACCCGTGAGATCTTCGAGATCACCATCACCAAAATCGAGAAGGAATGGCATGCGTTGGAGAAACGGATACCCAAGCCGAACCCTAAACCTCCGCAAACTCATCGGCCTAGGTCGAGCTCTGCGGCCGCCGTCAACGGTGAACCCCTAATTGGGGAGGAGCACGACTCCAAGTGCGCCATTTGCGATGACGGCGACTGCGAAAACACGAATGCCATTGTTTTCTGTGATGGTTGTGATCTGGCGGTTCACCAAGAATGCTACGGCGTCCCTTTCATTCCGGAAGGGCAGTGGCTCTGCAGGAGGTGCCAGCTTATTGGGCGTGGCGTTCCGGTACGTTTATGCCCCCCCCCCCCCTTTTTTTTTTTCTTCTTTCTTTTTTTTCCGGCGGCACCGTGCCATGTGTTAGAGCGTGTTGCTAATCCCCACTGTCATCAGACTTGTATATTCTGCCCGAACACGGACGGCGCATTCAAACAGACTAATTCGTCCAAATGGGCGCATCTGCTCTGTGCGATGTGGATTCCCGAGGCTTCATTGGGAAATCATACATTCATGGAACCCGTCATGGATGTGGACAAAGTGCCCAAGACGCGCTGGAAGCTGACCTGCTACATCTGCAATCAGAAGATGGGTGCCTGCATACAGTGCGGTAACAAATCCTGCTACCAGGCGTTCCATGTCACTTGCGCCCGCCGGTCCAGGCTGTTCCTGAAAATGAAGAATAGCCAAGGCGCCCTGGCGGTTCTTGATAACAGCATGATCCTCAAGGCATACTGCGACAAACATTGTCCGCCCGATTACACTCAAGAGAACAATGTCGCTGAGGCTACCCGGGAAGCCCAGAAGTTCTACAAGAAGACGATGAAGGGCCGTATCTGGGCCGATAGCCAAGCGTCTGCCCATGCGCTTGCTGCTACCCACCGACATGCCCTGACGGAACACCCGCCAGACGCAAGCCAGATGACAGGTGCCAGGCTCTCTGCCCTCCTGGGGGACAAGAAGAAAGGCCAGCCTATCAAGTCCATATGGAAACTTCCGTCTGGCGCTCCGGTCATCCCCCAGGTCGTGTTTGATGTTGTCGAGGCGTCCATATCAAGATTCACTTTGAGGAAACGGAAGGATTTTGTCAGCGAAGCTTGTCGGTACTGGACACTGAAGCGGGAAGCGCGGCGCGGCGCCACCTTATTGAAGCGACTTCAGCTACAGATGGAGACGTTCTCATCCATGGAACTTACACGGAGGAACTTTGCGTCCATGGGACCTCCCGGGAAACCCCGCCTGATCAGGAGACTCGAGTTCGCCAAGACCCTCATTCAAGATTTAGAACAGCTACGAGCCCTGTCGGAGAAAGTGGTGGAGCGAGAACAGCACAAACTTGAGTCTGCCGAACTTGAGAAGGAGCTTGTCGACACTTGCTACTTTCCTATAACAAGGCTATTTGGCCCTATCGTGGAGAAGGCCCTCGGGTAAGTTGGCGCCTAGGCTGACCTGTCTCTTTGAGTGACGTGGAGACTAACCATAAGTGGCAGGCTGGATAAGAACGTCTTCTACGATGGGTTAGTCAAGCTGCAGTCCAAGTTGGAGGAACGATACTACACGACGACGTTGGCGTTCGCGCATGATCTCTGTGAAGTCATCGACGTTGGCATCAACACAGAGATCAAAAAGGGCGATTCGGCGGTTGATGAGGCCATCACTACAATTGGCAAAGTATCGTATCAAGATCCTCGACAAAGGAAAACCCTCGGAAAGCGCATTCTGAAAGCCGTCCAACCCCAGCTGGAGGCGGCCCTACGGATCGAGACGGAAATCAACTCCAAACCTTTGGATCCACTTACCAAGGAACTCGAGGGTATGCTGGAAGCCAGTCTGGAATTCCGCCAGCCTTCCATTATCGTCGGGGTCGGTGAGGACTCGGTGGAGGCCTGCCGAGATGTGGCTATGGTGGATGCTCCAGCCGGCGGAGAAATAACCGTCGCGAGCGGTCAAGCAGATCCAGCGGCCGAAGGAGTGGCCGAAAACACCGATGCGATGGAGATTGACGCCGAGGGAGAAGCGGACGAAGACAACATCGAAGTCGCGACATCGAATTTGAGCAAGCCCGCGGAACAAACCGTAGAGGCGCAGTCATCCAGCTCGTCGGTTGCAGGGCTCGAGAGTAACGGCAAAGCAGTCGAGAATGCCGACTCGGGATCCTTACCCAACGGCGTACCGGCCTCGTCCAATACCCCGCCAGCCACAAACGGTTATCAGGCCGCCCCGCCGCCAGTCCAGCCGACACCCCCCACCCCTCCCCAGTCCGTAGGCGGCGGTCTGGGCAACCATCGGGCCGATCCCCTGTTGGAAGGCGGCATTCCCTGGTACCTCAAGGACTTCAAGCTGCGCGGCACGACCATATTGGCAGATCAGTGGCCCGGGCGGGATGCCATCCGTAGCCTCAGCGAGGAGCTGTCGGACATGGACGACCGCGAGCTGGAGGGCCTGGGGTTCGACGTGGATGACAGCACTATTACCGCTTCTCCCAACGGGGCGGCCGGCCAGGCCATAGCGGACACTATTGTCAGCAAGGCGAAGACGACGACCAGTCTTGTCAACAGCAGGCTTCGCAAGAGGACGAGGTCTTCCGCGCGGAGGAGATGAAGAGATGGGGATGTTCCGTGACTTGCTTTTTGTATTTTTAGAATCTGTTTGGCGTGGTTTCTGTGGATGGGGAGGTTTCATCATGCAGGTGTTTTGTTGTTGTTGTTGTTGTTGTTTTCCTTTTTAATGTTTGGTGTCGACAGTTCTAGGAGGAGATGGCTCACATGTTTACCCTTTTTGAAGGAGGGTTTTTTTTTTCTTCGCCTCTCCTTCATATGAGCTGATTTGTCGGAATAAGGCGGTATAGTGGATGTTCTTCAAGGCTTTTTTTTTACGCGTCGTTAGAAGGAAGGTATGCTGTTCCTAAAGCGCGCTTCAGTTTGGTCGGAGGGAAGAATGGCGTTTCAAGAGTTCTGGGTGTTTTCTTTTCTTTTCTTTTCTTTTCTTTCTTTCTTCTATTCTTGGTCGGTCATCAGTCTTTCGAATATCTTGAGGTGTAAATATTTTCTGTTCACCTTACCAACTATTTCTACCTGCTGCTGTCTCAGCCTTTATATCCAAAACCTCCGCCATATTCGTGCCTATTTGTACTTCCCACGTCTAACCCGCACTTCTTCTTTTTTGCGCCAAAGAAGTCTAGAAGGGACATGTGCTCTTTGTCGGCACTGGGATCGCCTCGAAGGGACTTGAGGAGTGGAATGGGGTGGAATGGGGAACGTATGTGCTTCCATATATCTGCTTCCTGCTTTGTTTTCAGTTCTAAACACGACTCTTCTGGAGAAAAGGAAGTGGCCGAATTAGCCCCATCATTGTCTTCAACCACATCAGGCAGATGGAAATAGGGAACGGACAACATCTCACTGGCCACCTTCGTTGATTCCTGTCTGTAAGGTACCGCGCATCATCGGCCCAGTGTTCAGCAAAGTTATGTCAGTTGCGCTGCCAAGGCTTTCTCAGAATCGTCGTTCCAACTGCTGTTTCCTTCCCTCGTTACACACACGCCTTTCATCGAGTTTACACGTAACGCCCAAGAGAAATTCGACGATCGAGGGAACTACGAATCACCGAATCGCCCATTGGTTGACGTATCGGGATTTTGAGGTGAGCCGAGTCGCAACAAAAGAAGAACTATCGAGTCCCTCACCTAACTTGGCGAGTTCTGTAATATGCACGTCAGGTCAATTTAATTGATGTCCTCCAAGGCCCAGTAATCGACGACGTTAAATACCACGTGATATATATGACAGCGGCCAAGCCGAGCGGAGACGGTGAGGTACCAAGGAATCTACCTAAGGTAGGTACTGTACCGGTACGTACTGTAGGTACCTTATGGAGAAGAGTGGGGCTTTGGTGACCGCATCACACCACGACAAATACGCACAGTCCGTTGGGCCCAGCCTGTCGTCCCAGTCTCGGAACATCACGACACAATCAGAACGACTAGCGATTCAGCGGGAAGAGGGAATGCACCGATATGCCTTGAAAGTTCCCTCATGCAGAGGATTACTATTACCAAAGTGCTTATTTGGACTGCGGAAGGATAGTAAGAATCCTGTTCCCCTGTGATCGAACTGGAACCCTTGGTCAAGCAGTTTGACCCATTTAGGGCCCTGAATGCCTGTGGCTGCACGAAAGGGCAAACTGTGCAAAGAGGTAGTCTAGACCCAGTGAGTGATCCGACTTATTGAGGCTAGCAAACCTGGAGGAATCCGGATGCTCAGATTTAAATATGGATGGAGGGGGAGAGAGGGTCGGTGGCGGCAACTTGCAGAAGCTGGAGACGTGCAATTTATATGGGGCTTCGAGTCTTTGCCTCTTCGTCGTGGGACAAACATGGGTGAGGCAGACGAGATGGAAGCTCTACTCTGTTACGGAGGACTAGTCGCTCGATGACAGCGGGGCCCGCGGGGCTCGATTACGCGGCTGGGGGCCGGGGGGGGGAGAGAAGGGTCTGTGGATTATGGTAAGAGACGGGCAAGAGAAAGCGCTCGTATTGGAAATTGCGGGGACAGCCAGCGTTGCAGTTGGAGCTGCCGTTGCATGCAGATACAGAGCCGGTTTGTCTGACGGTTCCCGAACCGAACCTGGCCGAGTGTATCCCAAGTCGGGAGACTCGAACAAAAAACGAGGGCAGCGACTGGGGATTTAGATGTGTTGAAGACTCTATGAAGAATGAAGAATAGTTGCTTCGTACTCGTTTTTAATAGTAGTAACAATACTTCGTTTATGTTGAGGATTGATCGACAGCGGGGATGAAACATTTGCTAGTCATGAATCAATGACATCTGGGGGTCTGAAGTCACGAGTTTGCGAGATACTATAGATAGACACTACTATTTGGTGCAAATCAAGCGAAACTGGGACGAAGTGAGGGTTAAATAGATATCAATTGCATGATATCCGTATGATATCCCGCTCAAGTGCATCATCCTATGAAGATTAGTACGAACCACGGAGTAGCAGCTTTGTCGAGTTGGGCGCTGCTTTAACATATAATACTCTGTTCCTACCTACATAAGGCACAGTAGATACCGAGGTAGTAGTCGCGTTCAACCTGACCTTTAGCGGGCAGTTGAGGTAAGCCACTTTCCCACATTGCAAGTCTTACTGCATACGGATACATTCTTACAGTACGGTACGCCCGGCAGTGCTACTATCTTTACGGAGTTGGTCGCATACTAATTATCCACACGAGTACAACCTAACCAGCAGAGAATTACTACCGGTACTCCGTAGGTAGGTAAGGTAGGCAGCCAAAGTACGAAGACGAACGACCACATCCATAATAACGGTGTAGCGACGTTCTGCGTACCTTACTTAGGGTATACAATGTAGGTCAGCAAGTTAATACCTGAAGACAAGGCTAGTTATTACTGTACCTAGTTATTTGTTACTCTCTTGGTGTAGGGATACTCGAAGTACGAAGTGAAGGAGGTTGTTACGTTAGGTACCTTATTATCGCAGTTGAGGAAAGTACCTGAGGCGTAAGAAGTCACTGACTCCTTTTCGACCCGGGAGGAAAAGAGCAAGTAAAAAAGGTCTCGACCAACCAGTTAGTTAGTGTCTACCCTCTAAGGCCCCAACCCTTGTCCCTGGCGCATACTGTCGCACGTCAAATAGGCACTTGAATGATTAACTTAGTAGAGCAGAAATCTCATGTGTGTGTATTATGTTAAGTTATATCTGTGTGAGTCTCTTATGCCCTTAATTTTGGGTGGTGAAGACTCTGTTATAGGTACCATGTCATTTAGATCCTATCCGGTCTTTTCCGGTATCCGCCCCTATTATATCCTGATACCTAAGGTCCGAAGCCCTTAGTTAGGGAGTAGATCCCCCCTGGATCCCCTATAGACTATGTCGTGGTCCTGCCTATACGACACACCCCCTTAGTTAAGGTGGGTCTTCCCCGGTTAACTAACTAATTAGAGGCTTCGGGTTAAACTAAACGCTCTTAACTTTTCTATCGTAAAATTAATAGTCAGGGGAAAACGCCCTCGTAAAAGAGATCTAAATCCGCCCTATTTAACCGTTTAATTTAAATCTATCTTAATTAGTTCCTTAATCCTGATTAGCCGGATCTACTTAATCGGATCTATATCCATCGGATCTTTTACGCCCTCGGTAGCCTTCGTTACGGCCGCTTTAGCGCGTTTAATCTTTTCGTGTAGTCGTTTAGACTACTTAATACGGTCCTGTTAATCTGTTAAATTAAGCTATTACTATAGTCTTTCAATCCCTGCCTCCGGTAATGCCTTCGTTAAACCGTCCGCGATTATCTCCTTTATATTAACGTACGTGACCTTAAAGAGGCCCTGCTATACTAACTAACATGCCTACTAGTTATAAATATCGATATACTATAGCCTTATTCGTAGGCGCTATACCTTCTTATTAACAAGGTTAATAGTCTACTAACTATTATAATATAGCTATAGTTACTATTAGTCTAACCAAAGCTCTAAGTCCCTTAATATCCGGCTAACGAATAACGTCTCTTTAGCGGCCTTTATAAGAGCGAGTAGTTCCGATTCTGTTAATAACGTCGTGATTATCGGTTATTTACCCGCCTTTTAGTTAATAGTTCCCCCGAAGAGCTTTATTATATATCCTTATAAACTCTTACGGTCTGGATTATCCTTAAAGGATATATCGTTTACTATTAGGAAGAGCCTATCCCCGCTGAATTCCAGGTAGTGGTATCTTATATAATATAGCAATAGTAGCACTTATTAAGCCCTTTTGAGATAGTTAGAGGAGAGATTAACGTTATATTAGGAAAGCTTCGAATAGGCGAATACGATATCGGGTCTTATCACGATAGTAGTGTATAGGATAGAACCGATTATACCCTAGTATTAGCGAACCTCGGGAATCGACGCGCGGGTGCCGTCGCGAGGTATTACCGGCTCCGTAGATAATAGGACCTTTAGTGGTTTTCGGCAGAGTATATCTGCGTAGTACTTAGCCGCGATCTTCTCTATATAGGAGGATTATAATAGCTATAGCCTACGGGTGGCTTTATCCCTTAGGACCTTAATTCCTAGGAATTAACGGATTTCTTCGCCTCCTAATAACCTATAGCTCCGCTTAAGGGTAGCCTTAAGGTCGTCGGCGTCCGTCTTACGGTCTCTATAGTATATAAGTCCGATATCGTTAATATAGAAGAATAGGATTAAACCGTCGCGGATTATAATATAGAGATTATTAGGGATGACTATAAAGCCTATCCTTTATAGCGTGCCGCTAAATTCCTCTTACTATAGTAATAGCGATATCCTTAATCTGAAGAGGGCTTTCCGTAGTAGTAGTACCTTACCTGGCACTTTATAGCCTTACGGTATCTTTATAAATACCTTTTCTTTAAGGCTAGCGTGAACGAACGCGTTAATAGCATCGAACTACCTTATTTCTAGGTTAAATTATACGGCGATCGCTATTAGTATACGGAAGGACCGCGAGGCTAGCGTGGCGGCGTAATTATCTTTAGTCTCTAACTATTTTTATTAATCCCCTTATACTATAAGACGTGGCTTATATTTAAGGAGGGTGCCCTCTTTATTCAATTTATAGGTGTATACCTATCTATAAGTAAGGACATTACTTATTAGCCTAATTACCACCTACCTCCTACTAATAGTCTATCTATTAGTGCCCTTTAAGGTATTCCCCCTTAGCCTATAACTACCGCTCCCGTAACGGGTAGAGGCGTATATCGCGGTGGTAATTTAGTAGAGGCGGGAGATCCTCGCGGGTTACATACGATAAAGGCTAAAAGGTATTAGAGGGAGTAAAATCTATAGCACCGATATCGCTATCGTTAATAGCTTACTTCCTCACGCGTATAGAATTATAAATCCTTCTAGCGTTAAAGAACGCCTTCTAGGCGTTATCGTTCTGCACCTTCTCGGTCTTATAGA